CGTCGGAGTCTCCCCGTTATGCATTTACTCGCTCCTCGTTCTTGGCTCTTCGTTCGTCGAAGTCCTGACTACCACCTTTACCTCTGCCTACTCGACCACTCGTTCGCGACTCGACCACTGGCGCTGTCCACCCTCTTGTTTGCTGTTTCTTGCTCTGCCTGCAATGGCACTCCATGTCCAAATAGGGTATGCCACGGCCCCCTACACCCGTGACACAGTTACACTCTTGTTATGAACAAAAACTGACGCTTATAACACGCCTCGGAATTATCGGAAACGTACTCGCGTCACCCAGTGTCCGACAACAGCCCACCGTTGACTGTGGTTGCCGTATCATTCACGGACGCTTTGCCCGCAATGGTTCAAATCCAGTAGCTGTCGATGAAGGTACAAGCGGACGTCATTGATGGCCGATTCTTGTCATGTCCACGGTTAGCGACGAGTTGACGAAAAATATATAGGTATCAGGAAGATGATGTCCGTCATGGGAGACCTTCAGTTACCTCCTTCGACCACTCGGGTTGGCACACCAAAACCAGTTTCTTGAGGCTGGTGGGCCGTCTCCTCAGCTTTGTAGAAATAAGGCTTTCGGGCAAGATGGCCGAGTGGTCTAAGGCGCCGTGTTGAAGCCTAGGTCTGAAAGGGCGTAGGTTCGAATCCCACTATGATCAATGTTAGCTCGTCGGTGGGGGCGGACCCTTCGCCATCGGATTCAGACGCTCTTAGTCGTCACGTGCCTTGGTGAAGGACGGGGTGGCGACGGAGGAGTTGAGGAGGCTTACGGGGATCCAACACGTATCCCAGTTTATACGGATCAACTCCCGTACTTCTCCTCCACAAACCCTCACGACGCTGTCGGAGGTGGCGGAGACCAAGCAAGCTCCCTGGGGTTGTCGGCGGTCGAGTAGTACTTCACCGCCGCCGCCTCCTGCTCCTCCTCCCGTCCCCCAACCTCGACTTCTTGGCCGCCTTCTCCTCCTTGGCTTCGTCAGCAAGTGCCAGCTGACGAGCCACGCACGCCCACACAAGAAGCACCCACACAAGGCATCGTATCCTAGTGGCGTTGGCAGCACGGCAGGAATGTCGGTAGGGTCGGCCTGAAACAATCGGCAGCTTGCCCGAGTGGTTAAGGGGTAGACTAGAAATCTACTGATGTTTGGCTGGACCTGTTCAAATCCAGAAGCTGACGATGAGGGTCTACTGATGTTTGCCTGGACCTGTTCTAATCCAGAAGCTGACGATGAGGGCC